CCCCCCCGCCGCGCCTTCCCCCGCCTGCCCCCCCGTCCATCCGCCCATTTGGTCTTCGATTTTTTTGAGCAGAAAAAAAACACCCTTTATGGGAGCCCCAGGCGACTTCTGAATTTTCAGCAGTGGTTCTTTTTGTTTTTTTCACAGCGCTGGTGGGTCATTTCTTTTCTTTTTTTGTTTTCCGATTACTGGCTCATACTCTTTTTTTTTTTTTTACACTCTGCTTGTGATTATGAGTGTTCTCCGTGTTTCATTGAGTTCGGGGCCAGGGGCTAAGTCCCACTAGCAGCGTTGAGCTTCCTCAACACCAGACTCTGGAAATGTTTATGGAGATATGCAGAAAACGCGTTGAGTTTTCTCAAACGCACCTCTCGACAGACACGTCCAGATTCGGGCGTTGAGGAAACTCGACGCTGCTAATGGGACTTGCCCCCAGGGTCGCTCTGGGCAGGATTCTCCGTTTCTGGCCGTCGATCTTCATAATCTATGGTCAGAAATTGAGGTTCTTTTTTTTTTTTTTTAATGGATAATTCAAGTCAGTGGTTGGACTTGGCCCCGGGATCTTCGGATCTTGCACTGTCGATTTGTTGTTTGGATGAGCATTGACCATACGGATGCGTACCTTCTACATGGCCCCGGGATCTTCGGATCTTGCACTGTCGATCTTGCACTAGGAAGGGGGAGGGGGGAGGAAGGAAGGTGGAGTCGGTTGCGGGCACTGGGCTCATATTCAGAGCGCCAGGCTGCCTTACCTCCTGATTGCGGATGCGCAGTGTCAGGTTTGCCCCTGTTTGTCATTGGTTAAAGCTGGGTTGCCGTTTCCCCCCGAACACCACGCCGAACCCTGATTCTGAATGTATACAAGCCATCTTTCCGGTTCGATGCAGTCACAATCAGGGTCCGTTGTGTTCGGCGGAAGCTGGTAGAATAATTGGAATCGTTGATTAGAGAGCCACATGTTTTTTTTTTTTTTTTTTTTTTTTTTCGGGAAAAGGTTGAGAATTCCATTATAAAGAGTCCAAAAAGAGGCCGGGAATCCTCACAAACAACCCGGAAGTAACCATTGCACTCGTCGACGTGTGGAAAGGAGCAAACAAACCCCCATTTAGTTAAATAAAAATGATTTATTTATTTTTAATTGCCAGAAATTGAATTTCCAAAATTTCGCAGTTTTCTTTTGTGTTCTTACAGCCTATACTACCTAGAAGGAACACAGTCTCTCACAGCTGAGTTGCATTTAAAAAAAATAAAGGAAGGACTGTCTTTCAACAAGGGCATGTTTCCTTTGTGATGAGGTCATAAAATGTACAGAAAGCAGTTCTTTCTTTTTGTTTTCTTTTTCTTCGTGTTGTGATCGCTCTTTTGTTTTGGATCATTGCTCGATTTACGCGTCTCCTCCTTGTGATCTCAACAAAGGCATCGTTGCAATTCCAACGGATGTTCCAAAGGACCAAGGGAAACAGTCCCTAGTCTCGTTCTTTTCTTCTTTTCTTTTTTTTTTAATTTGCTCTCGATCTTCGTTCTCAGTCTCTACCCTTGTCGGTAATAACTGGACTGATGCCGCAACACCTTTTCTTTCCTCTTTTTTTTTTTTTTTTTTTTCACAATCATTATAAGCTTARAATCGTGCACGCCACAACACCTTTTTTCAATTGTGCTGTGTTGGCAACATGCCACAGACGAGGAGTCGTGAGACTGACTTATCCAACGTGCAACTCAATTGGAATCGCTGCGGACGGTTCTGAGTCTTCTGAGTCCTGACCATATTAATTGATCTCTTCCCGATCCCCAAGCCTACCCCATCCCCCAACCCACCTCTTTTCCTTTTTTTCTTTTTTTTTTCCTACCTCTTCCCCCTCCCCGCACTTCTGGTTTTACGTCTCTTCCTTTGCTCCATTCGTCATTTCTGAAGAGTCGTATGAACTCAAATTGTCACTTTTAAATTACCATTTTACGGGGAAATGTACCCAGAGCGGCTGTATCTCGCCATGCTCACAGTCCGCGGGCACTAAGTGGGCGGCAGGCGATCATGGGGATCGAACCCAGAACCTCCTGAATGGCACTGGCGTGCCTAGCTGAAGGTCGCAAGGGAGGGGGGAGGGGGGGGAGGGGAGAGAATGCGCTGCTCGGCAGGTAAGTATTTCATTGATTTGGCGGGCTGAGGGCCAAGAATGGGTGGTGGATCAGGTGGGTGGGTGGGTAGGACCGTAGGCGGGTGAGTGGGTGGGTCGGTAGGTGGGTGAGTGGGTGGATGGATGGATGCGTGGAAGGCGGGAGGGTGATGCGCTGAGACGAGAAGACTTAGAGGATGCCTTTCATCCACCTGTGATCGTCCAACTGACAGCCCCCAGGTAAGTTCAGAATGATCGTAGTTACAGTATTTCATTCGTCTGGTTCCATTGCAACTGGATTCGAACTCAGATCTGCAATTCAACAGATCGTGGGTGTAGCAACTGAGCTAGCCCCAGTGGTTTTTAAGTCTTTCGACCCACTTCCGGTTCCGGACTCACAGTAAGATTTTCTGCGCCAAGTCCGGTTCTACTGTAAGTCTGGACCTGCAAGCTCAAAGCTTTAGGGTTAACTTTGCTAACTTCGCTTTTCCCGAATGCAGTCAAGTGTCAGGCTATGGCACTACCTTCTTTCCCGAATACAATGCACGGTTATTATAGCTGTATTTAGACTGAAAGATACCCTAGATACAACTGTAATGACCGTACGTTGTATTCGGCGGAAGAAGGTAGGAAGTCTGCGGCTTGGGGCAATGCTGAGCAAAAGCTTGCTCATTTGCTGCCCCGCCAATGTCAAAATCTCAAAGATTCTATGGGTACTGCTCTACAGCTTACTTTGAGGAGTTTCGCCGAAGTTTTTCGGGGCTCCACTGCCGAATTTGAATTTTTTTAATTAAAAAAAAGGAAAAAATTACAAGGAAACTCTGCTCATTCTTATTACCACACAAAAAGGGAGTACGGGAATTCCTCAACAAACAACCCGGAAATTTGAAAAAAAATGTTTTCTGGGAGGGGATTTCTCTTGTCTTCACTAAGAAGTAGGTTCTCCTCGCTTGCCCGCTATCCGCTGCAGATTCAGAGGTCTTCAACTTGGGAATGGCTCAGCAGAGTATCTTTTTTAAAGAACTGTTTTGCTGGCCCGTTGAGGCTACGACTGCGCTGACGCCATTCTATCGGCCAGTGGCCCTCAGATGACGGCATCACGGTTGAGTCTGAAAACGTTCCCAAAGCGCAACTAAATCCGTGGGAAGAGGTAAATTCAGCGCCGTACTTGAAGTTATTTTAAAAAGCGGAAGCTCTCTGAGGAACACCAGTGGAGCACGAGCCTATGACTCCTACCGTTTTCAAATTGGCGTTTTGGCCCTGCTCTGAGCCCCGATGGGAACTCGATTACACCCTCCGTCTCTTTCTCCCCACAAAGACCCCCCATTGGGGACCCCCCGCTATGACCCCCCATTGGGAGCTCGATTACGCCCCTCTGCTGAACATACTTAGTCTAGCGAGTGCTGAAACTACTTGGAAATATGGCCTAGTTGCACCACTTGCCATCCGCCAACTTTTATTTTTGAAACAACGGCAGTTGCGGCATGTTTTGAAACTCTAAAGGCACAAAAAACTCTCGTCGGCAAAGAAATCACGCGGCAACTCGAAATGAATAATTTTGGTCCAGAAGTACCCGTTGGGCCGTTGGCCATTTTCTTTTCTTTCTTTTCCCCTCTGACACCATGGCCGACCCCTGTAAATATGACACCGGGTCGGACACCACGGCCGACGGCCGTAGGTACTTCCGTTGCCTTTTCGAACTCGGCGCGGTTTTTTTTGGCCATTCCAT